TCAGGTCTTTACACTAGCTTCCAGTTACACTCAGAATAGGGTTTAAAGTATTATTACTGGTCTATAAATCACTAAATGGCCTAGGACCTCAATACATTACAGATAGACTCACTGAATACAAACCCAACAGATCACTCAGATCTTTAGGATCCCATAAACTAGAAACTCCAAGACTTCAGTCAGCAGGGTGAATCTGCCTTCAGCTAATAACAGCGCCTCTCGCTGCAGGAATCAGCTTCCAGAAATAATCAGATGTGCTTCAACATTAGGCACGTTCAAATCCAGACTGAAAACACATCTGTTTAGCTGTGCCTTTACTGAATGAGCACTGTGCTGTCTGACAGATCGCACTATTGTGTCTTTCTTTTCTTTTTCATTCATTTATAACCCGTTTCAACACATTTGAATGTTTTCATCATTTTTACTATTTGTTGTTATTTTCTTAAACGTGTTTCTTTCATTCCTGTTTATTGTGTAAAGCACTTTCAATTGCCAGAATGTATGAAATGTGCTAAATAAAAAAACTTGCCTTGCCTAATCTCTCAGTTTCTTAGGAAATCATCATAAAAGAAAAAAAATCTTCACAAAACAAGCTCTAACACAAACGTAAAGGTCTCAATGAATGATTCATTCGTTATGAAGGTGTGGAAGGAATTTTTATATGTTGTTTTATGGATGATTAAGCCATTTTCAGTAATAGAATACACTTAAGTAACTGTTAAAACGTTGGGCACACCCGGCGCAATATGACGCAAGCCCCAACGCAATGGTTGTTTGCTAGTTTCAGCTTGGTGCAAGAGTCGTTTCAATGTTTTTCGCTACGCTGTTTAAATAGCAAATGCATTTGCGCTCATATGTGCACCCGTAGGCGTTCTGGTCTAAAAAGAAAGGCCTTCAGAGGCGCACTGCTGGCGCGTTGCTATTTTGAGAAACTATAATAAATTTTTCAATAGACCAAAACAAAGCCGGTCTATTGTCCAGCGCAGAGCGCGTTAGTTATGCACCACGCTTACACACTGCTTAATACACACAAGATGTAGAGCAATACGCAAATATCTCTACAAATGAAAAAGAATTAAAATATTAAGGATATTAATAGGATATAATAAGGATATATATAGGATATAAATAGCAATATGTGCCATGGTGCGACGCAACTGGCTCATAAAGGGAATGGGAGATGAGACTCTGATTGGTTTATTTTCAAAATACACCTATAACTCATTAAGAAAATAAACTCAACCCTTTTAGATCATGCACCACGGCACAAAGCAGATTTTTCCATTCTTATATTAGCAAAAGTGGATTCTGACATGCCCTGAAAGCGTTTGCGCCCTGTGATGTGCACATAGACCGTCAAAATCCCATTAGGTGAAACGTAAAATTGGCAATTTTTATTTTAAAGGTGAAAACGTTTGGCTACTAAACTTCAAGTTGATTAACAAAAAGGTTTTCACACACTTACACATATTTTCATAACCTTTTCTATAAAGTCTTCTTCTTTTTCTTTGGCTTTTGTCCCGTATGATTGCGGGGTCGGCTCTTTTTGGATTAAGTTCTATATGCTAACGACTTATTTTACACCTTCCGGTCAGCCTGTCGTATGGGCCTGTCACACTCATACACTACGGACAATTTAGCTTACCCAATTCACCTGCAGCATGTCTTTGGACTGTGGGAGGAAACCAGAGCACTCAGAGGAAACCCACGCGAACACAGGGAAAACATGCAAATTCCTCACAGAATTGCCAACTGAGCCAAGGTTTGAACCAGCGACCTTCTTGCTGTGAGGCGAACGTGCTACCCACTCCGCCACTGCGTCACCAACCTTTTCTATAAAGTAATTTCCTTCAATGAAGCCATGAGAAGCAGCTCAATGAATGTCAAATCTATTCGAATGTTTAATATCAAGCGCAAATGCTGTGTATTTAAAATGATGCATGAAGTTCTTTACATGAAAGGTGCATTGTTAGTATTTCAACAATATTCTTGTTTGTTATTGTCTGAATGATTACTTAAAGATTAGGACAGAGTTTTGACGAAAACTCACAAAAAGTAAAGGGAAAACATGTAAAAGCGGTGATTCTGTATAATCAAACAGCTTGAGTTATATTAATGAATTCATGATGACTGTTTCGTGCTGACTATCTCTGCATTATTTTCTCCACAGATGAAAATGTACTTTGGCTTCTCTGTAGGATATCTAATCATTTCTCAAAAAACAAACAAAACAAAAAACCAGCGTGTAAATGTGTGAGGTTTTCTTCTGGCGTAAAGGATTATTTCTCTTTTGATTACTTGTGTGTAATTGTGAATGTAAATAAATGTAAACTAGTTTTCTCGTGTCCACTGAATTTATTAGATCTGCAAAGTTTTTATTTTAAGAGTCTAAACACCCAAAGTCAGATCTGATGAACATGAACAGTAATTGATGAATGTGCTGCACAATTAGTGCAAGGGGAAAGATAAAGGATCTATGAAAGATGTTTAAAGTGATGAAAAAACGATTTAATTCAAAAACCTTTGGGAGAAAGCAAAAACAAAACTTACATTAATATTACATTAATACGTACATTAATTACAACTCATTTGGTCTGCATCAAAAGAAATGTCATTTGTCTTGCTTTTTATATATTTTTTTTAAATGTTTTATCATATCCTTGGTTAATTTTGCTCTGTGCTCAAGGTGTATTGCATGTTACTTATTTAATATTTGGCAATATTTTTTTTTTGCAACTTACATGGAAATATTGCATAATATTAAATGGAAAACCACACCAATCTCTCCACCCATATGTCCCAGATCAAAGTGACAGACATCCTATATAAAGACAGACATGGTCAGATTAAAGTCAACCAAACACCTGGAGAGACACAGAAGAACAGCTGATACTTCACACAGGTACTGTATGATCCAGTCCACTTTATGAAAAATCTGAATCAATAATCATTTTGTATGAGATATATGGTCTGTTATTTTAATTGTTTTTGCTGTTTAACAAGGTAAACCACTGGTCTTTTTGATAGTTGCTGATTAGGGATTGGCATTTCAACACTTTAGAGATTAATTCTTGAGCTTTTTAACCTGCTTGTGCTTTTTTCTTTTTTGTTTCTTAAAACACTTTACAAATGTGTGAGAATTTGCAAAAGCATGTTTAAACCCTCCAGAACAACATCAGTGCAGATTTAAATACTAATATTAATAATATAACAACAATTCTTATTACTGTTATGTATTACATTTATTTTAATACCCTAGACTTTGAAAAGCCTCAAGACATGTCTGGAAAAACATGGGTTCTGCTTGTTGCTGGCTCAAAGGACTGGGACAATTACAGACACCAGGTTTGTGCTTCTTTCTCTTTATTATTATCAAAACATTTCTTATGTATTCCACAAGCTGTGCTGGATGAAAATTTGTTTATAGCTGTAATTAAACATAGAAAAATGTGTTTGTGTGTGTGTGTGTGTTTGTGTGTGTGTGTGTGTGTGTGTGTGTGTGTGTGTGTGTGTGTGTGTGTGTGTGTGTGTGTGTGTGTGTGTTAGGCCAATGTGTGCTGTGCATATCAGTTAATGAAGAAGCAAGGAATTCCTGATGAGCAGATTGTGGTGATGATGTATGACGACATCGCTAATAATCCCAAGTGAGTTTTGTCCTGCAGCGTTTGACTCTTGTGTGTTTCATAGTGAAACTTGATCTTATATTGTGTCCCAATGTCCAATCTATCCATTCTAAATATACAGTAATAAGAGCTGATATTGCCCATAAGCCATTGCATTTGGAGGGAAGCTTCAGTTCAGAGCTTCATACACAAACAAAGATTTATGAACTCATCAACAAGAAAAAAAGATCATTAGTTAAGAGAGAAGAGAGAGAGCCTTATTAATAAGCATAAGTGATTAATCTAACCAGATTGAAAACAGTAAATGGTGTTATTTCATCCACTAATATACAAAAAGAGTTAGTAGGCGTTAACTTTTTCAGAGACCACACCTACTGCATGTGGTTCTGACCAATGACACAGAATCCTTCTGTTTGACTCCTGGTACATTTGCATGGTAAAAATGCATTTACAGTTTTGAGATTGTGACCTTTTACTCCGCCAACTACTCTGGCATTTTTATGCAGGGGGTGCGCTTCCAGTCAGAACACAGCACTGAGAGTAGACGGACTCGTGCTTGGAAACACTAATACACTCTGTCATTCACACACTTAAGGGCCAATCTTGTTTTGTAGGAAGCATGAGTGTCTCTCTCTGTCTTTCTGTGGATGTTTGTCAGAGATTGAGGCAAACTCACATTCTTTAGGGACGTAAATCTTGACTTTGCATTAGTTACCAGAGACTTCAGTGGGAGTTGCAAGTATACTGTAACACACTGCCTGTTTCTTTGGTGAGGGTTGGTGTGTATTCAGCCTGATCTCACGAGAAAGCCTAAGTATTTTACCTTTTGTCAGTTTAGTGGCTAATTAAGTGGCTAAAAAAGGAGGAATGGCACCTAACCCCACCCCTAACCCCAACATTCATTGGATGATGAGCAAATCGCACTAAATTGTACGAATTAAATCGTACGAATTCATACGAATAAGCCACTAAATCAAAAAGTTACGAATTGCCGTGAGATTGTGTTGGTGTACTATACTTGGTAAATCTTACATGAGTAATTGTGTTTAATCGGTCTCAGACTCTTCTTGAAGAAATTGATTTAAAATGATTTCAAGTTTACCATCACTTCCATTTTATTTAGAAACAGTCTTGTATTAGTGTTTAATTTTTTGTAATTGAACAGAAGTGTTATAAATGTCAAATTTTTTAAAAGAGAAAAATTAGGACAAAAGCAAAATAAACATTACAACATCATCACAGGAAAGGTCTGATGGGTGGTGCTAATGTGTTAAACGCTTTCTTCTTCTTCTCTGTCTGCAGCAATCCCTTTCCTGGAAGCATCCGCAGTGTTGTTGATCAGACAAACGTGTACAAATCGGTGCCTCTGGACTACACTGGAAATGTAACTTCTTTGCTTTTCATTAATGTGAAACATCCTTTCATGATTTAATCTATATCTGAGCATAATTATTGTCTTACAGAAGGTGAAATCGAAGAATTTTCTTGCCGTTCTTCGAGGGGATGACAGTGCTGGTGGGAAAATCATAAGAAGGTTTGTGTTTGTTGATGATTCAGTGTTTAAGTATATTTTACTTTTGTGCAGTTTTTTAGCAGCCAATCTTTGAGTTCTCATGTTTGTTTGTTTTTTTACAGTTAGTTCATTAATAATTCAGTAGTTGACAGCATTATCAGCGTCAAACTGATTTGTCTAAAATGATCATTTGCTATTCTAATGTACAGTTAAATAATTGTGACAGACTTACTGCTTCTGTTCTTGGTCTTGTAATTCCTGCTTGTAGCTAAAATAAAGCATCATTTTCATTTAATGCAGTAAAAAAAATGACAACATACTCATCTACATGTCAGGAGTGGGAAGTGATGCCAACTTTAAATTTCCTCAGGACTCTGTAAGTACAAAAAGAAAAGTTTCAAAAGATCATATACACACACACACACACACACACACACACACACACACACACACTGAGGTTTTTGATTTTTGTGACTGCACATTACGGCATTATCAATCTGAACAAGCAACTGTAAATATTTTCATGGTACAATACAAAGGTTACCCTCACTACAACTAGAAATGTTATAAATGATATTGGGATTGTGTTTAATTGGACTGCTTGTTCACTTCTAGATGATTAATTCTGTTTTTTTATGACAGCTTGATGCACATCAGTTCACAACAACAATAAACACTATGTCTGACGATAAGAAATACTCAAAGGTACGTATTCAGTGAATCTTGACTGAAGATTGAATATTTTTAGCACCATTTGTACAGTTATTTTTTATTATATGACAAATGAAACTGATTATTTGCTGTCGCCTTTTCCACATCACAGAATAAATTCCAGCCTGCTAATAAGCTAATTCAGGCCTGGTGTATATTCTTGCTTTTAACATTCACAAAGCTTTTAAGTGGGGGCTAATGTTTTCTGTAATGATATAGAAAACACTATTAATCTCTGTATTTTTTGCAGATGGTGATCTTCATGGACAGCGATAACTCTCAGTCAGTGTTCAAAGGCCTTTATACAAACATCCATGGTGAGATGGCACTTTTAAAAAAAATTGTCCATAATTTATTTAATGAAAAAGTAATAAAATTAATTAATTAATTAACTGAGAGGCATTGAAAAATCTAATGTGTATATGTCCTCTCCAGTCTATGGAGTGGCTTCATGTGACTCTGCTAACCAGAACAGAAGCGTTCAGAACGACCCTGACAGAGGCATTTACCTCTCAGATCAATTCTCAGCTGCCTGGCTGACGTTCATTTCTACGGTAGGAGTTTGTCATCAGTGAGCTTTAACTGTATTTGCCAAGTCTACATCGTATTACATTAAAAGTAAAGCATGCTTATTTGTCTGAACTTTTACAGGCTGATCTTGAAAAAGCTACATTCAGTAAGCTGTTTGAGTACATCAAAAACAAAGATGATTCCTGTCCCTGCGAGATTGGAGACAAGGTATGAAAGTCCAACACTTTATGAGAATATATCTTCTCTTTCTTAAACTTTAAGTGAATATTTAATTATTTCTTTCACAACTAAACACGAACAAGCATTTTAAACATTTCTAAGCTGCTGTGAATTTCTTTTGTTTCCCTCTTTTTAAGGAAATTCCTAAACTTCTGATCAGTAACTTTCTGAAGTTGGAAGGCTGTTCAGACTGCGCTTGAGAAGACTTCTCCCTGAAGCGCTGATGAAAATGATCAGCATAATCTGATGACCTTTTCTTTTCTTCTTTCAAACCTCTGCATTAATGATTAGAACTGAATCGAGTGCAGCATTATATACGCTATCTGCTGACAGTTTGTGCTTAGTGAGATTTTAAAATGGCTTTAACTAAAAGAAATGCTTTAGATTAAATTGATGTGCTCCTGCTAAAGGTATTTTTTGTTTAGAAACATCATATTGATTTCCAACTGTCTGTGATTCTTTCATTTTACGTAACTGTAGCTAATGAGCTTTTTATTATTTAGTTTGGACTGGGTTTTTCCTTTCTTCTTCCTTCTTTTTTGATCTAAAATGACTTATTGGGACTGTGTGTGAACTAACAACCAAAAAAATGAATAAAACTGGGAAAAGGGAAAAATACTGTGGTTTTGTGCTTTATTTATTCTGCATGGACATCATTTTTACAATGTCTTATAGAGCATGTAGAGTTTCCAACAGTTTGTGCGTTCATGGGTGCATCAACCTAGAAACATTTCTAATTTGCTGAACTGATGCTCAAGAAACATTTTATTATCACAAATATGTTGGAACCTGCGACTAAGTAATATTTCAAAGCAAGTGATTATTTCTTCTAGAAATATGTTTTATAAAAAAAAAATGTAACTGATGAAAATCTAATTACAATTGTATTATACGGCACGGTGGCTCAGTGGTTAGCACTGTGGCCTCACAGCAAGAAGGTCACTGGTTTGAGTCCCGGCTGAGTCAGTTGGCATTTCTGTGTGAAGTTTGCATGTTCTCCCCATGTTGCCGTGGGTTTCCTCCGGATGCTCCAGTTTCCCCCACAATCCAAACACATGCGCTATAGGGGACTTGGGTAAGCTGAATTGGTCGTAGTGTATGTGTATGTGTGTGTGAAAGAGTTTCTCAGTACTGGGTTGCAGCTGGAAGAGTATCTGCTGTGTGAAACATATGCTGGTTAAGTTGGCAGTTCATTCCACTGTGGCAACCCCTAATAAATAAGGGACTAAGCCAAAAAGAAAATGAATGAATACCTTGCATTTGGTGCATACAGAGTCATACACAGTAAAATGCTTACAGTACCACTCGTGACCTTGAATTAGTGACAACAATAACAAAATAAAGTAATAATATAACAATAGATTCTACACGATGGAGAAATTGATGTTATGCAATAGAAAATAAAAGCAACTATAAAATATTTTATTATATATATATATAATGATCTACTATTGGCAGCAGACTCTGGTTTACTGTCAATTCTTATTCTCCTGGACTTGAGTGCAGCCTTTGACACGGTTTCGCACGAGGTTTTTTGAATAGGCTTGCCTCACTAGGGATCTCTGGCACCCCTCTTTTATGGTTGAAGTCATATCTTGAAGATCGTACTCAGTTTGTTCAAATTAAAGATTTTAAGTCAAGATCGCAGATTGTCACTACTGGTGTCCCACAGGGTTCTGTACTGGGTCCACTCCTGTTTATCATATATCTACTGCCTCTTGGTCACATTTTCAGAAAATACAACATACAATTTCACTGTTATGCTGACGACACTCAACTCTACCTGTCCACCAAGCCCTCCTGTTCTTTTCCTCCTCCTGCTTTGAGCAGATGTTTAGCTGAAATAAAAATCTGGCTTTCAGCTAACTTTTTAAAATTAAACAGCGACAAAACTGAAGCCCTTCTCATCGGCACTAAAAGTGTTTTGGATAAAGCTGATAAATTCACTATAAACATTGATAACAGTACAATTTTTCCCTCCATGCAGGTAAAGAGTTTGGGTGTCATCTTGGATAGCACACTCTCATTTGAAGGTCACATTAATAATATTACACGTACTGCATATTTCCTTCTGCGTAATGTCACTCGTCTCCGCCCTTCTCTCACAACTAATAACACAGCCATTCTCATCCACGCATTAGTTACTTCACGTCTTGACTACTGTAATGCACTTCTTTCTGGACTTCCTTCCAAACTTCTCCATAAACTCCAACTGGTTAAGAACTATGCAGCTCGTTTCATCTCTAGGACCCCATCTCACGAGCACGTCACACCACTCCTCTATCAGCTTCCAGTAAAATATCGAATTGATTTTAAAATATTACTTCTAACTTTCAAGGCACTTCATAATCTCGCTCCTCAATATCTCACTGAACTTCTCCATATCTACACCCCTTCTCGTACCCTTAGGTCAGCTAACAACTTCACTCTGGCACCACCTCGCACTCGACTGAGCAAAATGGGAGACAGATCTTTTAGCTCTATGGCTCCTAGGCTATGGAACTCACTTCCAGTAGATCTTAGGAGCAGTGATAGTCTTCACAATTTTAAATCACGTATAAAGACCCATCTTTTTAAGCAGGCTTTTACTTAACAATTTTTTTATCATGTTTTTATTATGTTCTTTTATATTCGCTATTGCGTTTTAACTTGTTTGGTCATTGATTGTTTTTAGTAATGTTTAAGTTGTTTAGCATGTCTGATGATGCTTACTGTAATGCGACCTTGGGTGTCCAGAAAGGCGCCATTTATAAATAAAATGAATTATTATATATATATATACATGTTACATAGTAATTTACTAAATAATTAGTAGTTAAAATTACTAGTAATTTTTACTGTACATCATTTTAATGTGTGTATAGGCATCTAAAGGCATAGTACCAGGATGATCCACAGTCTCCTCAGCCAGATCTGGGACTTTAGAGGTTGAGCTGTAAACCTGTGAGGGAGAAAATAGATGTGAGTGAGCAAAGATTTAAAATAATAAAATATAATAATATAAATAGCAAACTACTAAACTTAAAAATTTAAACGTGTTAGATGACCAAACAAATAAGCTTACATTACATATGTCATCATGCTAGATGTCATCCTATTTAAGTGTCACATATGCTTGTCAAGATTTTTTTTTTTAAGTTAACAGGCTTGAATACAATTAGATAATAAATAACAATGTGCCAACACCACATTTTAATTAATATTATGTAAGTTATCAAAACTGGCATTCAAACTCGACAAACTGCTTGACACTCATTTAAAATAAAGACTATCAAATAAAAAAAAAAATCAAATCACTTTTATTGTCAAATTATCAGCAGCACGTGTGCTATGATGAGTGAAAAGCTTAGACTATTCTAACATGACTATTCCTTACTACCGTTTGTAATTTTATTTTGGGGGAGTTAATATATACCAAGTATAAAATTTCACAGGAATGCAAAACAAACTATACATTTATCTGTCTATAGAGTGGAAAAGACACAGGGAACATGGCAATTTCATAACAATACTATACACAAACACAACATAGTATTACAAGGGAGTAGATTTATGATTCATGTTGTCACAGCCTCAGTATAAATACATAAAAAGTAAAAAAAAATCTCACCTGTGTGTCCACATTGGGGAAAGCTTTGTGCACGTTCTCAATTTGTACTGTAATCTTCATCTTTTGATTCCCATAATATGGCGCCGAGCTGAGAGTGATCGTTGTGGTTTGAATCTTCTTACTTCCTGTGTTTTTTTTAAACTGCGCATGTGCAGATATTACTCCACCTATTGACCAAAATGCAGTACTGCAGAAGCAACACAACTCCCTTGCATTCATGTTACATAAGCAAGCTGTTTAAATGTGAAAACTTACTTTTTCTAATTTTTTCCAACACAACACTTTTATGTTTAATGCACAAACATAAACGAATTGTTTAATTTAAACATAGGTACATTCTTTGGACCAACTAAAGCCATAATTCATTTTTTTGAGTGTATATATATATATATATATATATATATATATATATATATATATATATATATATATATATATATATATATATCACAAATACTGCAGAAGACCTACTGGAACCCACATGGAGACAAGATTCTCTTTGAAATCAGTCAAGTTTGGTGAAGGAGAAATCATGGTTTGGGGTTCATTCAGTATGGGGGCGTGTGAGAGATCTGCATAGTGGATGATCAACATCAACAGCCTGAGGTATCAAGACATTTGTGCTGCCCATTACATTACAAACCACAGGAGAGGGACAATTCTCCAGCAGGATAGCGCTCCTGCTCATACTTCAGCCTCCACATCAAAGCTCCTGAAAGCAAGGAAGCTCAAGCTGCTCCAGGATTGGCCAGCCCAGTCACCAGACATGAACATTATTGAGCATGTCTGTGGTAAGATGAAAGAGGCATTGAAGATGAATCCAAAGAATCTTGATGAACTCTGGGAGTCCTGCAGGAAGGCTTTCTTCTTCATTCCAGATGACTTTATTAATCAGTGATGTGAGTCACGTCAGAGATGTATGGATGCAGTCCTCCAAGCTCATGATGGAGTCAGACACAATATTCATTCTGTCTCCACTGCAGCAGGACTTTATATTCTATACTGGACATTATTTCTGTTCAGTGATGAGACTTTAGTCTAAGCAGAGTCAGACCGCACTGTCCTAATGAAATCATCAAAGGCATGATCATATTTTATTGTGGTAAAATAAGTGTAATCTTGAGGCCTTTAGCTTTTATATAAGCCACTTATGAAACCAAATGATCAACTAGAAGTAAAGTTATTATTTGCTGTTCCTAAAACATAGATAGGCACCGAGACTTTTGTCAGGTGGAGTTTTGGCTGTAGAAAAAAAGTACAAAAATAAAAGTATAAAAGTATACAGTATAAACTAACATGCTGTTTTAAAAGGTTGCCTTTAAGTATATTTATGCTCATCAAATACAACTGTGAATGAGTGTGAATGGATAATTCAGCTGGAAGGGCATCCGCTGCGAAAAACATATGCTGGATAAGTTGGCAGTTCATTCCACTGTGGCGACCCCAGATTAATAAAGGGACCATGCCAAATAAAGCTACAAGTGGGCCATCAGCATTTTGTTTGTCATCACACTGACTAGCGGTAACCAAAAAAGGGCAAAGGGTAACATGACAATGTGAAAATTAAAGTTAAATGTGAAATTAATGTTTGATGTTGAATTTTTTCCTTGTTAATACCTGTGACTTGTAAGAACAAAAAACTAAAAAGTAGCATGAGACATGTCATAACCAGAAATATGTTGCCTTTTTTTTTTTTGTTCATCACTGCGTTAAAATATGTGTTGTTTTTTGTGTTCTTTTACAGAGATTGTCTGTTATTTTCATCTCATGGAGAAATTACATAATAAATGTTAGAAAATGTTACCTGTTTTGAGCATTTATTTAATATATCTAAAACATAAAAGGTGATTGTATAAAGCAAATAACAATATCTTTTTAGAAATTGGTCAATTTTATGTATTAGACATGCACAAAACAGTTCAGCAGTTGTCATAAAATGTATTTAATTAGTTAATTAACTAAACATTACGATGCAGTGGTGCAGTGGGTAGTACGATATCCTCACAGCAAGAAGGTCGCTGGCTCAAGCTTCAAGTGGGTCAGTTGGCATTTCTGTGTGGAGTTTGCATGTTCTCCCCGTGAATGCATGGGTTTCCCTTCAGGTGATCCAGTTTCCCCCTCAGTCCAACGACATACGGTATAGGGGAATTGGGTAAGCTAAAATTGATCTTAGTGTATGTGTGTGAATGAGAGTGTATGGATGTTTCCCAGTGATGGGTTGCAGCTAAAAAGGCATCTGCTGCGCAAAAAAATATGCTGTATGAGTTGGCGGTTCATTCTGCTGTGACGACCCCTGATTAAGAAAGGGACTAAGCAGAAAAGAAAATGAACGAATAAATAAACTGAACATGAAGGGGTTAAGCTAAAGCTAATGTTAACTTTTACATTTGAATAATGTGATTAAATTAGATGGAAAACTGAAATCTATTTGAATTACATAAGGGTTAATATAGGTTAAATATTTTATTGATGGAAAAACAAATCACTCTTTGAATTGTGTAATTGCAAGTTTTGACACCCACAGAGCATTTTTACATACGCCCTCAGTTTCCTAAGAACTCACCAAAAACGAAAACATGTTGAATTGCACATGAATGTGCATGACATTTTTATTATATCAGGGGCGTAGCCATGGGTAAAAACTAGAGATGCACCGATGTATCGAACAACAATCCGTATCAGTCGATAGAAGCTTTTTTTCCCGCTATCGGCCATCGGCTGATTGTTTAAAAATATCCAGTGGTCAGTTCCGATATATCCTGTCAATCAAATTGGGCGGGAGTGTGCTGCGGTGTATGTGAAGATGTCTCTTGTGTGGAATTACTTTGAAGTAGGTCACAATGAGAACAAAAAATGTAATTTGTAAGCTATGCACAGCTCAAATTTCGCGAGGTGGAACTTCAGTTAAACATTTTAACAGTTTAACATTTTAACAACAAAAAAAGATTTTATTTGTGTAGAAGAACTTACCCCTTACACTTAAATAAGGGAATTGAATGAGATGTTGTGGGCAGATGTTTAATAATAATAATAATAATAATTTTTATTTATATAGCGCCTTTCCAGAGCTCAAGGACACTTTACAAGGAATGCAACAAAAAGATAAACAAACATACTTGAATAACACAAACAAGACCAAGAGACATATGAGCAGAGTAGTGGTGGATCAGATTAAGTGGTCAGTTTGGCAGATCAGATGTGAAGCATTCAGTAAATAAGTGAGTCTTAAGTAAGGATTTGAATTCAGAGATATTATTAGCAGAGCGGAGTGAGCGTGGTAGAGAGTTCCAGAGTTTGGGTGCAATAACACTAAATGATCTGCCCCCCATTGAAGAGAGGCAGTTCCGAGGGACAGCAAGAAGGCCAGAGTCAGCAGACCGTAAAGAGCGAGTTGGGGTGTAGGGGACAAGCATGTTGCAGAGATAGGAGGGTGCAAGGTTATTTAAGGATCTAAATGCAAGGAGGAGAATTTTGAATTTAATCCGGTATGCAACCCGGAGCCAATGAAGATCATACAAGATTGGGGTTATGCGAGCAGAATGTTTGGTATGAGTGAGTATTCTAGCTGCAGAGTTTTGAATATACTGTAATCTAGTGATGAGGCTAGCAGGCAGGCCAATGAAAAGAGCATTACAGTAGTCGATGCGTGAGGAGACAAATGCATGGATGACAGTCTCAGCATCCTTGCTACTGATGAAGGGACGCAGTTGTGAAATGCGACGTAAGTGAAAGAATGCAGATTTAGTGACAGATTTCATGTGAGACTGAAAAGAGAGTGTGGAGTCAAAGATTACACCTACATTTTTTACAGAAGTAGATGTTTTAATGTGCAAGCCAGCACTCTCACAGGAATAACTGGTGGAAATATTGCTGGTAAGTGCTGGGGTGCCAATAAAAATTATCTCAGTTTTGTCCTTGTTATGTTTAGAATTGTTATAGTAGATGTCACTTAACAAGAAAGATAAAAAAATGTAATAAGTTTGCTGTTCGATGATGCAGAGACGTACATTTTTTTAGGGAACTTCTAAATGATTGTGAGAAATGCTTTATGATCCAGTTAGTATTTAGTGAATATCATAAAAACGCTCAGATTAAAATGTTTGATAGTTAGAAAACAGAAATGCTTGATTGTAAAGAACGTTTTAGCTATATTTGACATGGATTTGAGGGAAATGCTTTGTAAAGCAGGATGCTTTTCATATTTAACTAATATTAATAATATTATCAAAACGGTTCATTAATAATATCACCAGCTTGATGTTCAGACTATAAAACAAATATGTTTTTGACTGTGATGAGTGATTTTGAGCTTTTTTTAGAATA